GGCTCACTTTGTTTGGACTGGAGTTGCTTAATGACAGTTTTGATACAGACAAACTATTTTTAGGAATATTTCAAACTCAAATAATGTTTCATGTCTAAAACTTTGATTAGTGGTTTTTAAACTTCATTTTTTATCTGGTAAAGTAGAAGTTCAATGTTAAGTTCATGTGTAATAACCTTTAACGAAGAGTAACAGTCAAATAAATGATTTTTACATACAGTAAAGGGCTACAGTGTGACATGAACACGATGCAGACTGACTCTGTTTAAACAGTTTTATGATCGTTTCTTTACATGGTTTTGCTCCAAGGTTATCTAAATTATGTATGTTTTGGTAAATTTACAAGTAGAAGTGGCATTTTAGTTCAAGTTTAAGACTCTGAAGTTTACCGCTTGTGTACTTTAATGGCCGTGTTTCTCTTTGTATGAACTGTTTCTCAGAGTGTTAACAGTAACAGTATGTGTGATGTTTGTGTGAACGATGAGTCAGCGTTCCCACCATTGGTTTCCTGCTGTTCATTTTTTTTGGTTGTTGGCATCAAACTATTTGTTTCATACTTTAAATGTTTACACGTCAAAAGCTTCATCTTGTTCAGGAGACGAGTGCCAAGACTTTAAAACTTTTCTACTTTTAAAAAGATTTAACTTTACTGACAAAACAATCTTCCATTTATAAACTGACATCCCTTCCAACTCTTCTAAAACCTTTGTTTGTTTGTTTTTATAATGGTTGCTACTTTTAGCTTTTAGCTACTACTTTTTGCTACTTTTCATTTGCCTTTTACTGCTGTTATCTTTTAGGTAGCATTTAGTTTTATGTAGCAACTATTTTTATTGTTTTGATCTTTCCAATACTTCTAGTTAGCTGCTCTTAGCTTTTAGCTAGCCTTTTGTTAATTTTATACAGAATTTTGTTATTTTTATTTTGCTTTTTCAGCTAGCATTTCACAACTTGTATGTAGTGCTTTTCTACTTTTAAGTAAAGTTGGCTACTTTTGGTATTTACTTAGCATTTTGATACTTTTAGCATTGGGCTAGCTGTTAGCTACTTTTAGCTTTCAGCTTGCTTTCAGCTTCTTTAGCAAAATTCAGCAAAGTTACTTTAAACTTGGCATTGACACTACATGTTCACTGAAAAGACAATTTGTCTCATTCCTCCTTGCAACAAGAAACACTTCTCTGTGTTCCCTGTTCATGTTTGTTTCATGTTTGCTCTGATCCACATGTCACAGGTTCTAAATCAGCTTTCTATCGTTGTGTGTCACAGAAATCCACACGAGTGCTCAGTTCATCCCTCGAGTTCTTCAGAGCTCAGAAGATCTGCCTCCATCATGGAGATCAGCGAGGACACGAAAAACTTTCTGAAGTCAATAGAGCGAGAAGACGTCAGCGTATTTCCAGAGCAGTTTCTGGAAGAGCCTTTGGAGGACATGTCCAACCCTCCCTTCTCATCTGTCTCCTCTGCAAGAGACACTTTGATGGAACCAGGAACTTGTGAGCCCTTGTCTCCAACTCTCCCCCTTGGACGGAGGAAGACTTGTTTGAACACTTCTCCCCAGCTGTCTTCTCTTTGACGGACCCTTTGATAGAGCAGGACCCGATTGAACAAATGTTCCCAACTCTCTATCCTGCAAGACACCCTTTGACTGAACCAGGAACTTGTGAGCCCTTGTCTCTAACTCTCCCCCCTGTGGAGGATTCTTGGACAGAGTTGGACCTGTTTGAACTTCTGTCCCCGACCTTCTTCCCAATGAGAGATGCTTTGATGGAGCAAAGCACACCTGAAGCTTTGTCTCCAACTGTCTCCTCTGCGAGGAACTCGCTGATGAAGGACGGCACCTCTGGTCCTCAGCATCGTTGTGTGGACCTGACTGAGCCACACATGGACAGTTTGCTGGACTTTAAGAAGAGTCAGCGTGGAGGACATGATGGGTGTCCACACGTGGGAGGAGCTCCTCCAACTCCTGTCAACATCCGACCTGCAGTGCAGCAGTCTGGTGGACAAATCCAGGAACAGGTGAGACAGGAGGACAGGGATGTCTTTCATTGTTTATCTGTAGATACAGTAAATATTGGTGCATATTACAGAATAACATCAGCTATAGTGATAAGAAATAAAATAAAACTGAAATTTACAAAGTCTAGAGTTCTCTGCAGGGGCACAGCTAATTTTTTAAAAACATTTTATTTGAAGATTTATTTTTCTTCCTGTTCTTCACGTTTTTTCTATGATTTTATACTTTTATTTTGGATTATTGTTTGAACAACGTAAGACACTTGAGCTCAGCAGAGACTGTCCACATGTAACAGCATCACTTCTGTTCAGTCACTTTCTCTACAAGAGATAGTTTGTTCTGTTCAACACAGATGTTATTTAGCTAGTGAACTTTATTTGGACTCAAACTGGGACTTATTTAATGCAGCCTGAACTCGTGTGGTCGTTGTTGGTCTGTTCAGACCTGATGAGTCAGATTTCAGGGGGTTTGATGACAGCAGCTCTTTCGGTCTTTGTTTATTAAACAGAGAGGGGAAATACTGCCACCTGGTGGACAGAAGACACCACAGCTGGCTGTTTCCTCACATCTGTTAGAGTCAGAGTCAGAGTCAGAGTTTCTTTATTGTCATTCGCACCTCATGTGGTACATGTGGTGGAGCGAAATTATGTACACAGGGTCCCAGTTACATCCAACAATAAAATGTATAAGAAAAACAGTAATAACATCTAAGATATGAACTAAGAAAAACATCAACTAAATATACACTAAGCACTCATAACATAAAACATTGAACATCACCACAAACATGAACATGAGTCTGTGAGCAGATGTGCACGCATGAACACATCAACATTGAAACAGATCAGCAGCAACATGAAACAGATCAGCAGCAACATGATATGGTTTTTCACAGTGATTATTCTAGTTAGAGATTCATGAGTCTAACAGCCTCAGGGTAGAAGCTGTTCCTCAGTCTAGTGGTTCTACACTTAATGCTCCTTAACCTCCTTCCTGAGGGGAGTGGGGCAAAAAGTGTGTGTGCTGGGTGGGTGGGGTCCTTCATGATGCAGGTGGCCCTCTTCCTGCATCTGGAGGTGTAGATGTCTGTGATGGTGGGGAGACTGATTCCAACAGATTTCTGTGCAGCCTTCACCACTCTCTGCAAAGCTTTTCTTTCTGCAGCTGTGCAGCCTCCATGCCACACATTGATGCTCGAGCACAGGATGCTCTCCACTGCACATCTGTAGAAGGAGGTGAGGACTGAGCTTCCCAGACCAGCTCGCCTCAGCCGTCTGAGGAAGTAGAGTCTCTGATGAGCTTTCTTGATCAGGCTGGTGGTGTTGTTGCTCCAGCTGAGGTTGTCATTCATGTGTACACCCAAGTACTTGTAGCTGGAGACCACTTCCACCGCAGATCCTCTTATGTTCAGGGGGGTGTAGATGTTTTTGTTCCTTCTGAAGTCCACAATCATCTCCTTTGTCTTCTTCACATTGATGTGAAGGTTGTTCTCTCTGCACCAGCTCTCCAGGTGTTCCACCTCCTGCCTGTAGCTGGACTCATCATTGTTTGTGATGCATCCCACCACCGCTGTATCATCTGCAAACTTTACAATGTGACAGCCTGGATGGGTAGCTGCACAATCATATGTGAGCAGAGTAAACAGGAGGGGGCTCAACACACATCCCTGAGGAGAGCCAGTGCTGAGGGTTATGGTGGAGGAGGAGAGGTTGTGGATCCTCACTAACTGTGGTCTGTTTGTTAAAAAGTCTAGTACCCAGTTGCAGATGGAGGGGCTTAGTCCTAGTGTGGATAGTTTGTCCATCAGGGTTTGGGGGATCATGGTGTTGAAGGCGGATGTGAAGTCCACAAAGAGCATACGGACGTAAGAGTTTTTCTGCTCCAGGTGGTTGAGTGCAGTGTGGACCACAGAGGAGATTGCATCCTCTGTTGATCGGTTCTCACGGTATGCATACTGATGAGGGTCCTCGTTGATGTTGATGGTTGTTTTGATGTGAGTCATGACCAGTTTTTCGAAGCATTTAGCGACTATCGGGGTGAGGGACACTGGCCGATAGTCATTCAGACCAGTCACTGTAGAGCTTTTTGGGACTG